AATAAACACTGTGTGGTCATCCTCTCATGCCATTAATTGGCTCGATATCTGACAGGGCTCGTCAATATTCTAATCATCTGAGAGTAGTCATTTGAGTGAAATGAACTGTCATTCTAGTAGGAAAAGCTTTAGTGATTGATTCAGTTTTCAGTAAGTCAGTGTCGTCATCAACATGAACAGATAATTAGCAAGTGACTATTCACTGGAGGCAGTGAGCAGGGGGCCAGCAGTGGGGACCCAGGGTAATGGTAGAGTGGGATGGTTAATGTTCCAGTCAGACTGCAGACTGGCTCAACTATTTATTAATAACTTAACCTTGGGTTCTCACTTAATCCTTGAAGCCTCGATTTCCTCATCTGTAAAACGGAGATGACGATGATGATGATGAGGAGGAGGAGGAGGAGGAGGATGCCAGGTACCGCGGGTTGTCAAGAGGCTGTACGTGTGATGGTTAAGAACACACACTCTGGAAGAGGCTGTCCAAGTCCAAACCCCATGTCCACCATTTACTAGGTACACAATCTTGGACAAGTTACTTACCTCTCTCTGCCTCCATTTCTCCATCTTTAAAATGGGGATAGTCACAGTGTCTGCCTGAATGGCCGTTGTGAAGGTAAAATGAGTTAATTCCTACAAAAGGCTAAGAAGAGCACCTGACAGGTGGTCAGCATTCATGAACTGTTGGCTGTTACAGTAATCACTGTATTTCATCAATTCTCAGGCAGATTTTTTTCCTCACATTTTAACATCTCTGAAATCATGATGCAATATTGCAATATTTAGTATCTTCCAGTGAATGCCTGCCATTTTCCCCATCTTTTAACATCTCTAAAACTAGGGTACCCCTGACAGCATCTTAGACTCTGTGCACTGAGCACAGAACTGGCCTATGGAAGACACTCAGCATTTATGTGATGAGCGAATGTCTGTGGACCTACAATATAACATTCCTTTTTTTTTTTTTAAAGTAGGCGGCACACCCAGCGTGGAGCCCAACAGGGGCTCAAAGTCACGACCCTGAGCGGAGATCAAGAGTTGGATGCTCAACCAACTGAGCCACCCGGGCTCCCCGTAACATTCCATTTTCTACAATTTCTCTCTGTAGACATATTCTGAAAGAAATGGATTTGATTTCTCCAAATATACAATTCCCCTACTACTGGAAATTAAAGATATATATTTTTTTAATTTATTTGAGAGAGTGAGAGAGAGAGAAGAGCACAAGAGGGGGTAGGGATGCGGGACTCGATCCCGGGACTCCGGGATCATGACCTGAGCCGAAGGCAGTCGCTTAACCAACTGAGCCACCCAGGCGCCCAAAGATATTTATTTCTAAACAAAGATTTCTCAAATGTCTAAACACATAGAAACTTGCTAGAAACGATCTCCTCCTCTTAAGTTTTGAAATTTCACACTCTCGGAAGCAACAACATAATTCTAATATAAGACACATCTCACACCAAGAGTCCCACTATTAAAGAAAGTGACTATGTAGGTTCATGAAAAAGCAAAATGTTGGCTCATTGGTAAAAAAAAAAAAAAAAAGAAAGAAAAATTATCAATGAAGTAGTAAGATTTTTTTTTTTTTAAAGATTTTATTTATTTATTTGACAGAGAGATAGACAGAAGAGCACAAGCAGAGGGAGTGGCAGAGGGAGAGGGAGAAGCAGGCTCTGCACTGAGCAGGGAACCTGATGCAGGACTCGATCCCAGGACCCTGAGATCATGACCCGAGCCGAAGGCAGACGCCTAACCATCTGAGCCACCCAGGCGCCCTGAAGTAGTAAGATTTGATGGTTGTTTCTCTTGATTGTATTTGGGACCCTGTCCTGACACTCTGATGGACAGACGTACAGACAGGATCAAAGGGAACAATCTGTGTCAGACAGAATGTATGAGAAAATGTAATCACAGAAGAACACCTCATTTATCCAGACTGTTTGGAATAGATGCTTAAAAAGTGAAATTTCCAGATCAATAAGGTTTACTCCTTGAATGTGAAACTCTTCTTTATTGCCATCACTGTAAGTGGGAATCTCTTCAAAACATTTTCTTTCTTCAGTTTCCTACTTTTTCCGTCATGTTACTGACATGGCATGCTGACCACCATCCACCACGCGGTTGTGTGTTCTCTAGCCCACCCTGGGGGCCGCCTGCCCAGCCTGCTCTCGTCGGTGGTGGCGTTGCTGCTGGTGTTGTCATGTTTTATATTTTCAGTTTCCTCGCCCACCGTGGGACTGTCACCTGTCACTCTCTGTTACTGCTGATGGGCCAAGTTCTAGAAGCTCCTTCTAACCAACAGCTCTATTCTTAATAGGTTTTAAACCAAGAAACCTTATTACTTTGTTAGAATTGGACTTAAAACACAAACAGATCCCTGAGTGATGGGCTTACCTATGAATAAAATGCACAAGGTCTGTAACATAAATACCATTTATTCCCAGATATAAGGCAATCTCCTATTTTCTCAAAAAGATCCTGAAGTTTTTAGATCCAAAAGTTTTTCATCAACGTCTACAGATGTGGAAAACTTGCCTATCTACGCTACTTATTTTATTAGTAATTTACTAAAGCACACATTTCAAATCACATGTAAAAAATACTACTTTGATAACAAAGCTTTTTTCCACTTTCCCACGTCATAACAATTTTATTTGAGCTCTTCACGTGCATCTGCAGCATCAGTGTGTTCTTCCTCACAAGAATAGCTTCTTGGTCTTAAAAATGTTACATAGCACACCATCTTCGGTTTGGCCTGAATTGTTTCAGATAATACAGCAGTTTTTAAATCATCTATGCTTCTGTCACTAAAGTTCTATTCCAAGCCATAGCTCGTCAGTCACTCACAGACCACGGAGCAGCTGATCTGTTTTCATCTGTCCAATAAGCACAATGTGATCTGTAAAATACCACACGTCCGGTGCCATTTTCCAGTAACATCTAGGAGGCTCATTTGTCCTGACATCTAACACAACTGTGCAGTCAGACCCCCAGGGATATTTCCTAAATGTGGGCCAACCATCTGCCTCCTTTTCTCTAGTTTCTTCTGGTGGCCTCCCAGCCTCCAGAACCAGCCCCGACAGAGGCCGGCTCAGGCGCGTGTGCTTTCCTAAACAGTGCTTTATTGTTCAGAAGAAAGTAAGTGAGCACCCTGTAACCCGGGAGAGACTTTGTGAGGATCCACACAGAAGGAGGTCGTTTCTCTTCAGAGGGATTATGCTTGGGGGCAAGCCTTGCCTTCTTTTGAGGCCAGAACAGAATGTTAACAGCAGCCGGACCCGGAGAGCGCCCCCTGCAGGGACCCGCGGTGAGGAAGGCCTGAGCCGGCTCTGTGGTTGGGAGCCACCCTCACCCGCCTCACCAGCCAGCCTGAAGGCCGACGGCTTTACTTTCCTCATTGGCAGCCCTCCCCCATTTGGAGTAGACGAGAATGCCAGAAAAATATCTCCCAAGCGTGAAGTGGCTCAGTACCGTATATTTATATGTAACTATTGCACTCTGGTGGCTAATGATTTTGAGAACGAAAACAAAGTATGTGTGAACTACAAGCTTTAAGACGAGATCTTAGATTAGCTCACAAATTATTCTACGTACCTCGTATTAGCTCATAAATATTCATGTCCATAAGTTCACATATTAGTGCAAGAGAACCAGATTTTCTGTCACTGAAGAAGAAAGCAGGTTTGTCAAAATGTTTTTTTCTTGTCGTAATCAGAAAATATAATCAAATATTTAATTCATCTGTAAACATTTCTGGTGGACATAAAGCACTCCCACATCAAAGGCTGAAGTGTCCTGACTGAAACAGAAGTTGTGATTTTCAATCAGCACTTCAAGTAAAATTCACTTAAAATAATAGTAAAACCTTAACTCGAAGCAAAAATTCTAAACACTTCCCCTCTTTTTAATGAGATGTGTCTTGAAAATATAAAATTAACTACCAGCAGGAAGGAGAAATGAGGCTGAGCAGTTGGCTAAGCAACACAGAGGAAAAAGAATTTAATTCATGCTCCGTGACTGCAAATTATAATGGGGGAACAAAATCCACAAAGCAGTCAGGGGAAAAGGGAGAAAGACGGGTCACACCACGCCCATGTGGTGCCCAGGCCTTGCCCGGGGTGGGGACAGAGGCCGCTGGCCGAGCTGGCGTGCCCCGGGCAGGGGGAGAACGGGTCGCGCAGGCAGTGATGGCCTCGGCCTGCAGTCTCCGGCCCTGGCCACACTGACCGCTCAGGGCACCGCAGGCCGGGAGGCCACACAGCTGGGACAAGACATTCCACCCTGAGTTTAAGACGGCTCCGTCCTCTGATTAAAACCTGCCGCACTTGAACTGTCAGAGACCTGGCTGGGTTTAAAACAGCCTGGAGAGCCTGAGAGAGGCTTCACCCAGCGTGCACCTTCTCGGGCCCACAGAAAGGCCGGTCCCAGGACGCTGGGTCCGAGTTCCTGGCTCAGAGATCAGAACTGCCGGCACCTGGGGACGAGCTGTGCTCTGCCTTCTTGATCGGCAGGTAAGCCTTAGGTAGGCTATTCTAGAATTAGAAGAGAAATGAAAAGTCCCCTGGATTACATCAACCACAGGAAGGCGGCAGTTCTCACGGCCCGAGACGGTGCAGGCAGACCAGCTGGCGGGGATACGGCAGGGGCAGCCCCGGCCAGGTGACGCCAGTCCTCTCCCAGGACGCCGCCACCCACACCAGAGGCCTCGCCCGCCAAGGCCACTGTCTCCAGGGAAGCCTCCCTGAGCTACAGGAGGAGCCGTCTGAATTCTGTATGCTCTTGTGATACGGAGTCACCTAAATGAAGGCATTTCCACAGTAGAAACCAGTTATGCATTTGTCCAAGTAAATACATATGTGACTTAAGATAAAATGAAAATTATTACTCCCTGAGCCACAAAGCAAATATTTTAAACGTCTAATCACGGTTTTCTTTCTTAAAAAGAGATTTAATCGTTCTTATCAAATTGAGGTAATTTGTAAAGCCCCAAATATACTTACAAAACCACTTCATGCAACGTAAGAATGTTAGGGTGTGGATTCAGGCGCCTCAGTGCTTGTATCTCCCGCAGATTGTTCACTTGCTCAATACTATTGTGTAGGTAAAAATAAATAACTAGTTTATAATTTAGGTCAATTTTCAATTAGGGTTATTCAATCATTATTTGTTACCCATGATCACAACCGAAAAACTCACAAATACTTCAGGCAAGTTAATCAGCTTATATTTCTCCCGTCAGCAGCTGAAGTTCAACCCGTCTCGTTCTACATTATTATCTGATAAAAACCAAGCTTCTTATAGGTTTAGACATATATTCAAATTTTCCCCATCTAAGCTCCTGAAAGAATACCTTGGTAGTTTCTTTTATAATTAATAAACATAGAAAAAGATATTAAAAGTTCCTATTAATCAGTTTCTGGGAACTAACAGGCTGAGCAACATGAATACCATCTGAAGTACCCATTTCAGATTTCCACGAACAGACCAGCCTTCCTCCTTGTCTTTAACGAACGCTGTACATGTTTTCAATTTCATTCAGCTGGTGACTGGTGTTCTCTTGGCAGCTGTGTCTACTGCTGGCTCTTCTTTATGGAGACTGATCTGCCCGGCACCGTGCTCACATCCAAAGTCATGCCAATATGAGTGTAACAGAAGTGGACGGGCTGAGGCGGGCTGTCACCCCTCTCCACAGACCCCTTACAAGAGACACGCCTCCCCATGGACGGGCCCCTGGTCACACCCAATCAAATGACTCGATCCCCCAGAGACTTCCATCTCCTAGACAAGGAAAGAGACTGTGGGAAGAGTCTTCTTTCTTTGAACTGCAAAACTCTGTTCTACCAACTTTTCACACACAGTGTAAAGCTCAGCATCTGTTTGGTTCTTCAGAGAGCAGTTATGTCCAATAATACACTATCACTACCTTACGTCAGTGGGAGTATTTTAAGTCTCTCATGCTAGCCGGCAAACAGGAGCCTGGTATACAGGAGAAGCCTGAACAATCTGAGGGTGAGGGTATTTCTGACTACAAGTTTTAGACTCCTTTTCCATTTACTTTCCCCGACGGCCTCCCTCAAGCCCAGGATGATGTGCAGAATGTTAACCACTTGTGCACTGTGGTCACCAACCAACCAGAAAAGACACAGCCCATAACACTGGAGCAAGGTCCTACAGAGGGGCCCCTCCTGACCCAGGCATGAACCTTGTAGTTCCGGAGAGAGGAGAGGTCTGCGGAGTGCTGGGCAAAGGGCCAGGTGGAGGGTGGAGGTGGGAGCGGGCAGCTCTCAAGAGGCTCAGGATAGCCATTTACCACCCAGAATATGAGTCTTTCGCTATTCTAATAACCGTCATGGACGGCCATTCTGGTGTGTGCGGAGCCCAGATCGTGACACTCTCCATGCATTATGTCAGCTTAGTACTTACCCCACCACCTGCTCCTCACCAGCACCCTGGCCCGCAGAACCAGCCCCTTCCAAATGCCTTTAGAACAATGCTTCCCAAATACATCCCATAGAACATTCTTTCTCTAGAAAATGCTTCATGAAGGAATTTCATGTTCAGAAAATTTTGACAGAGGCCTACTCTACCTCCTTTTGGAGAGCCATAATTTACCACTGATATTAAAAGCTTCCAAAAACCCTGCAAAATAAAGAAAACAGTTTACCTTTATTTAAACCAACATTTCCCAAACTTTTTTTGCCCTAGGATCCTTTCTTACATACTATCTAGTCACCGTCCCTTAGAACGAGGGTTCCAGAGAACACACCACTCCAGACCATCCTTTGAGTGGCACGATAGAAATACCTTTTTTTCATTAGGACAGGGAAGTTGAATAGGCAAAAGGAAAAAAAAAAAAAAAGATCAAGTGGAACATTCTTTTGGGGGCACTTAGGCAATTGATTATAGAGCATCTTTCAATCCCTGTCCCTGGGGTCTACATTGGAAGAGACCACCAAAGGCTCTTCCTCAAGGTCCCACACCTTGAGGGGAGTCCCCTAACTCAGGCCTAGGTTGCTGAAGACCTCACCTCTACCTGGTGCCTGTCATGCGTCTACTGGTGGCTCTCATCTGGGAGGGACCTTGCCCCTCAGGGGATATCTGACGATGTCTGGAGATATTTTTACTCTCACAGGTTCTGTAGCGTACTCTACCCTGGCATTCAATGGTGGCAGCCAGGGAGGACACTCAATAGCCTACAACGCACAGGACAGGCCCCACGACAAATAATCTGGCCCAAATGTCAACCGTGCCAAGGCTGAGAAGCCCTGCTTTAGATGGAAAGAGCAAGAAACCAATAGAGCTAGCAACAGTTCTGATTTTTCAACACTCTGTATGAAAAAAAGTAGTTTTTAGAACTGGATAGTCAAGGGGCGCCTGGGTGGCTCAGTTAATCATCTGCCTCCGGCTCAGGTCATGCTCTCGGGGGCCTGGGATAGAGCCCCGTGTCGGGCTCCCTGCTCAGTGGGGGCCTGCTTCTCCCTCTGCCTCTGCCATTCCCCTCCTGTGATCTCTGGCTCTATCTCCCTGTCAAATAAATAAAATCTTAAAAAAAAAAAAAAAAAAGAACTCTTATCATCATTAATATGAAAACTGGTTATCATACCCTGAAACATATTCTGCTTATTGTGACATAATTCTTTCATGCCTCCACAGACATTTCACTCATAAATAATGAACTAATACATTTAGAAAGGCACTTTCATCTGAGCATCACTAGCCTTTGTTCAAATAACAATATTTTTATTTTAACAAAATACAAATCAACTCTGTTCTTTTTTTTAAAAGATTTTATTTCTTTATTTGACAGAGAGAGAGCACAAGCAGGGGGAGAGGCAGAGGCAGAGGGAGAAGCAGACTCCCCGCTGAGCAAGGAGCCCGATGCGGGGCTCGATCCCAGGACCCTGGAATAATGACCCGAGCCGAAGGCAGCCACTTAACCGACTGAGCCACCCAGGTGCCCCACAACTCTGTTCTCTCTTTTAAAAATCATGAAAAAAATATAAAAAACTGGAATTAACTGTTTTTCTCTGCCTTGGAGTTGCTTTGAATCTTGGGTCAGGGGATATTCAGGGTTTTGTTTGTTTTCACTGTCCTACTGGAGACAGAAACAATCATGGAATTGAAGGCCAGGAGGACGGGCAGTCTCTGCTCCAAAAAGAACCAATGATACCACCATAAACGGATTTTTTTCTACAACTGAAAAAAAATATAGTTACCAGGTCGAAGTATAAAAAATAAAAAATATTTAATTATTTTTTTTTAA